TACTATAAAATATTGCGACTGAATGCGACTGAAAAATTATTAATGGTCCATGAATTATGAAATTAGCTGTAATAAATCATAAAAAATTACGCAAAACTACCTAATCTAACATACCTGAACATATTTTTTTCTACTTCGCTCTGAAATTATGTCTGCACTCGCCTTACAAAGCAATACTTTGTGGTCTATTTTTGAAGATTCCACGGTTTTAATTCTTAGCGTGTTTTTCTTGATTTATGTTATCAGAAACCAATTCTCCAATAATCTTCCTGCACGTGATGGAAGTACTACTTCAGAAATCAAAAAGACCTTCATTGAAATGACCAATGAGCTCTCTACATATGATACTAAAATCGCCAATAAAATTGCCTCACGTGTATCTGAAATTAAGACTTCTCTCACTGCGGAGCTCGACAGAATCAATAATGAAGCTGATGCTGAGCTTGGTAGAATCAACAATGAACTTAATAAGACTCTTAATGAAGAAGTTAATGCAGGGTTCAGCAGAATCAATATTGAACTTAATGGTAAACTTACTGCAGAAATCAAAAAAATCAATTCACGTGACGCTGGCTACTCATCTGAGGCTCAGAAGATTTTATCAATGATCAATAATGCGACCACGAGACTTGATAATATCGAAGAAGCTTGTCATAATGATTTTGGTAACATTTCATCTGAATTCACTTTGGTCAAGACCTCTATTGAAGCTCTCCGAAATAAAATGATCCAACGTTATGCAATTGCTCAAAGACTTCAGATCGATTTTGATTAGTTGAGTGTAATCAGCCAATCTGGAGCTTCGAATAGATCACATGAGAGCAGTAACAGCTCTTCTTCTGGAAATTCTAGTACATCATCTCTCAATGAAAATAGGAACCGTTTTAAGTGAATTTTTGACTCAAATAAGGAAGCATGAGATACTATAGATTATGCATTTGAAACTGTGAGACGTGAAATTCGTGAACTTACTAGAGAAAATATTGGGAAAGAAACTGTGAAAAACTTTTATTATGGTGTAAGGGGTCCAAAATTTAGCACATTGATGTCAATTATGAGATGGGTAGATAGTAAAGAAATTGCTCATAGTTTAGATAATAGCTTAAATAATAATCCAGAGTAACAGGGAAGGAACTGCCAGTATATGAACTAGGGCTTGGCAAGCTTTCAAGCAGACATGTTCTTTTATGCCTTTCCTCCCTTGAAACATCCTGTTATTCTATCATTTTTTTATTATATTTTATATATCTAGAAATACGAAAAAAAAAATATCTTTATTGTATACATTTTATATAATAAAAATAATCTGTCTAAAAAAATCTTGGCTATTGTTTTGGCAGAGCCCGGCTGAAATTCTAGTCATATGATTTCTTTTACAATCAGAACTATATCCAAAATGAGTTTTATAATGCTTTGCAATCTCTAACATATGTATGGAAAAAAATACAAAAAATGCTAAACTGTTAAAAGCGCTATTCTATACTAATGAAAAAAAATCTTATTCTTGCTGTTCGTTTGACTTTTCACCATAATTAATGGTTACATTGATGACATTAGCACTCTGGGAAAAGAAAGGAAGAGTAGGTGTGACTGGCCTAGAGATGGTAGAATGTTTGACAGTTGATGGTATGGATCTCGATGTAACAGACATTTCCTTGGTTGATCGATCCGTAAACACTTTTACTTGTGATGATGATGACGAACTTGCTCTACTTGAATTAACACTTTCATTATATCCATGACGAGAAGGTGGCTTCCTCCAAAAATAAGTAGAGAATTTGTCATAAATTTCTTCCCCAATTAAGCTATTCTTTTTTATACCCTTTGTTTTATGTTTTTTGCCGTCTAATAAAAAATAATAAATATAATGACCAGTTAGATTATAATCACTCAAACAGAGTACTCTACTTACACCAAAAGCTTTCGTAAGAGATGAGAATTTCTTATGACAATCCTCGCCAATAAAGTAGTTTGTATTTTCCTGTTCATTTAACTTCATAGCAATATCATCCCCAAAAAGTCATTTCTTCTTATTTGGAGTAACCCAATACTCAATATTTCTCTGCTTTCGTTCGTCAATAAGAAGTCGAAGCTGAGCATCGCTCCACTCAATTGTAAACATTTTTACATGGTGAAAAACTAGCGTGAGAGAAGACAGTTTTATGAAGAATTATTGAGCGATGTGTTAGACTGATTAATGAAATGATTAATCAGTGGCTTAGACCTTTTTTTCTGATTGGCCGATCACCCGTGATTTGAGAAACCACTCAGCGCCATGAAAGTGCCAGGGAAGTGTCGTGAAACTGTCGTGGAACTGGTAAGGAGCCAGAGTGGATTTCTGTAATATAATATACGTCATGGATCTGAGAATAATTTAGCTATTATATTATCTCGGAACTAATTTAACTGAATTATGACATATAGGAAAACCCCAGAGATCTACAAACTGTTTTACATGCATGTGAATATGCATAATACCTTCGGCTAAATCCCGATATACTTGTAATCGAATAAAAAATGAATCTGATATTTTATTATAAATACTTGCTACAA